TACTTGTGCAAGTTTCTTCATGAGGTTGTGACTATGGGGCCATCACTAGGTTCCCCCTGAACCCAGAGACTGCCAAGAATTGATCTCTTAGCCTCACTATAAGCAGCTGGCTGGTAGAGAACATTGCAAGCATAAGTGACACTGTGGTGGCACAAATATAAGAGATCTACAAAGAGGAAATGAAATTAAGGATTGCTGTGTGTGCAAGAGATGGGGAGGCCATTTGTGAGAAGCTTGAGCTGTGCATCCATCCCTTAAACCTCACTTAGAAGAAGAAGCAAAAACAACAATTGTCAGTAATAGAGTGGTACCACCATCTATCAATGAAGACACATATACAATTGGAATTCCCCAAATGCAATAATTTGAACATAGCTGGCACACAAGGGTCTATGACACAATGACAAAGGTAATAGACACTGGCAGTGACAAATAAGAATGTACAAGATAATCCAACAAATGAATAGATAAGGTTAATGTGAAATACAACAGTGATAGGCCTGCAAGCAAGTCCATGAGATCCTGACATCAAGATTGTCACATGAGTTGGCTACAGTACCAGCATCAATTTTTATTGGCTCTAGGGATATGAGGACCAAGGCCAAGTCTAATGTAAAGAGCCAGCTGCATATGGAGGTGCCAAAGAGACACACATCACAAGAAGTCACCTGCATGATTATGGACAGATCTGCAGTTTTGAGTAGGACACTGGACATCAAGTGGTATCATCGAAGACTTGGTGACCAGTTTCAAAGTCTACATTGAGCAAGAGCTACCAGCAGGGGATATAGATTGTGTTGAAGTCCTTACACCTGTAAACAACTAGAAGTGCCACAAGCTCTAGCAGAGCTACAGAAGCAAGCAGAATACATCAGCTGAGAACAAATACACAGCTTCTTCCACAGAAAGCTGAGTAGATGATTACTGTGAAAATAAAAAAGTGATTAATATCATTTTATAGAACTCATTCAGAACCCAAAGTTTTGTCTGCAACATGCACTAAATCACAAGCTATTATCCTGGGCAGGGACAACACACTGGTAGGGGAAAAAACAGGACAGTTTGGTGATCAGAGAAGATATGGCCACCTCACATGAAAAAAACCAACATCCTTGTACAATAGATGGTGATGACTACCAAAGAAAAACTGGTGGGAATATTAATACTATCAGATGACACTGATGTTTGTCTTGCTGTTGCACCATTACTTTGAACAGGAACTAACATGTTGGAGTGATTATGGAACCCCCACTCCAAGAGAGCTGAAGTAGATGTCTGTACTCCTGCAGAGCAACACTGTACCAGGACAACTAGCTGCCAAAGCATACTCAGACTGTGACATGGTAGCTTCTTTTTTTGCCTTTGTAAAGGAACTGAGTTAAAGATTCAGTAAGTGGGATATTCCCTCTGTCTGCTGGGTTACATCAGTGCAGCATTGACTGAGGTCATTGACCAGGCAACCAAATTCATGGCTACCTGCTACATACAATCAAGCTGTACCACCGCGTCAGAAGCAAGCAGACATCATGAGCAGCAAAAATTGGCACAGGTATCACCCATACCAAAGCCCAGGGCCTTACCATTGACAACTGTAGCATTTATGGAACATGTAAAATGAGCATGTGTATGGGAAAAGTGCTTTGGATCCAAACACACTACCACATATGGTGTACAGCAATAGGGATGGCTATGCAATGACAAGTTCAAGGCACTGCTTCTATGCCGTGCTTGCTCTTTGATATTTAATCAAGTGTTCTTGAGAGAGTGATGCACCTAATAAATCTATAACATGTGGATGTAACAATGCTAAAGTGCCATGTACTATACTCTGTGCATGCCAAGGGGCTGTGGTGTGTCACAATGACCTAACAAAATCAGTCTTAGTATTTGCAGATAAAAAAGGTCATGACATGCAGCAGCCTCTGTCATAGGAGGACACACAGCTACAGTTTGAATGAAAAAGAACAGTCATCATTTAAAATGACTTAATTTATAATGACTTTAAAATAAAACGTTTGTTTAAAATTGTTATAGTAATTTTGTTGAAAGCCACAATAATCTCCTTAATACACCTAGTCTCCTTTTTCATGCACCCTTACTATTCAGGTAGGTATTGTTATTGATTGATTTGCAAATGTCAAATGCAAATCCTGCCTTGATTTTGTACCTCTGCAGTCATGAGACTTTTGTCATAGAAGTGGCAGTGGAGAAAAGAAATGTTCATATTTCAAAAGGCTCTGTAGTGAAGATTATAATCAGTCAGATTTTTTTAAATATGTGGTTTTGAGATGGGAGCTACACTATTTTTGTGGCTTTTGTAACACAAGATTGAGCAGAGCTGTTGCCACACCCGTCCATATGAACTCACTATTATCACATTTCATTATATTTGGTTTTCAGTGATTTGTTTCCATTTTGAGGAAGTGCGATTTCTCTATGGGCAGCTTAATTGTTAAACATGCAAGTCCATATTTGTTTAAGTAGGGTCTGAATGAATTCCACTGACAGCTAGCTAGATGTAGGGAGTGGGAGAGACTTTAGGAGCAAATGGTATTTACATGAATATATATACTCTGCTTAGATATCCAGCGGAAAAAGCAGGTTGCTCAACGTGATCAGCTTTGGCTGGTGTTGGGTTAAAATTACCTTAGTATTGAATGCAGGGGTAGTAAAATGCTGTTTTCAATCTTATTCACTTCATTGTATAAATAAAGAGGAACAGAACTGTACTGATCCTGTCCCAAATAAAGGGGTCATCCTTCGCTGAAAGGACCTCATTATGCCTAGGGTTTAACCAGTTCAAACATAGAATTAAATAGGCTACATTTATTATGCTAAGTACTCAATGGAAGCTCAAATCACTTGTGGTAGGGTACCACACACACACCAAAAGTTTTGCTGACGATAAATGCGGGTGTGAACAGTACTTTGTTGGCAGGAGTGCTCTGACAAAGCTAAGACTGCTCATTGGGAGTGGAAGATTTTTGTTGGCAAAAGAGCTGATAAATAGTTGTGTCACTTAAAACTGCATAATATAGATATAGCCTCAGAGACTGACCTACAGGTCACGGCAGGCAGGTGGCAGCAGGAGATGACGTAGGGGCAGTCAATGAAAGTGGCAGGTGAAAGGGGCAAGCAGTTAGCTGGTGGGAGGCAGCAAGGAACAGTGGCCGGCAGGGCAGCTAAACAGTGAGGAACAGCAGCTGGTGAGGCAGCCAGCCAGAGAAGGTACTAAGATGGTGGAGCAACCCTGAGGTGACTTTCCACAGATGGGGAATTTTACTATGGGTCCTCACTGACCAACGACAACCACTGTGAGTGGGGTGTGGTTAGGGAGCAGAGGGGCACACAGTAAAGGAACTTTTGGTTGTAGAACTCAAGGATAGCAGCAGAAGCCACTGCCCACATACTCGACTGACAGTTTTAGGTTTGTGAACCTTGCTTGTGGCATTTTCCCAAATTAATGTTGGGTAGCTCCTCTCCTTTCATTAAAAGTTGTCCCCCCCCCCCCCACACACACACACACATTCTGCCCTTGCAAGCCAGGAAATATTGCCCAGAGATGGTGTGTCATTGTCCTGGGTTATTGGTTTGCAGCTTGTGCCGGATCTGTGTGGTTGGTTGAAAATGAACTCCTAGATACTGAACCTGGCACTGGTTGCTGCTGGTTCCACCTGGCAAAAAGTCACACTTGCTTCCAACAAAGCTAAGAAATGGGTTTCCAAAGACTCACTTGAACCTGATTTTACACTGGTGTAACTCCACTGATTTCAATTATGTTATTACTGATTTAAGCCAGGGTTAGATCAGACTCAGGCCTCCCAAGAATAATATCTCCAATTATTTCCGAAGGTCCCTATTTTTCCTGTACAATTTATCTATCCACTGTGAGATGCAACATTAAATTTCAGATTGTTTGACAATAGAACAATCACCAAAAGACTAGGAGAGATGACTTCAGAGAAAGGCATCTCATTCATTTGGCACCATGGAACAATTAGTGGTGGGGTTTGGTTATAAAAAAAATCTGAGCAGCCAGCAGACTCCACCCTAGATGACATATGACAAGCCCGAGATACTTCCCTTATTTGGTATAGGATTTGGGAACATCATTCACTAACATTTAAGATTCAAACAGTGAGAGATGAAAGCTGTCTCTTCAAAGCTTATCGACGTGTATACTCAAGGAATTTTGCCCACAAGTAATTGCTGATTTGGCAAGAGTCTGAAATCAGGAAAATTAGTCTCATTATCTTATTCTCCAGTTTAAACCCAGCAGTTTCTATTAAGCAAAAAGAACTCTTTACCCTAAAGTGTATTATTGTGCTTGGGAGTGGTCCGTTGTTTGCTAAATAATACAACTTTAAGGGTTAGGAAAATTGACTCAGTCAAATTCACAACTATGGTAAGATGGCATTGACTTCAGTGGAGTTTCGTCAGCTTACACTCAGAGTGGTCCAAGAAAGTTTTGCGAATACATTATATAAATTCAGGTCAGTTTAGACAAAGAGTTAGCTCTTCAACAACAAAACATTTTTGAAACAGAAATCCTTATCTTTAACCTTGTCAATTTCAACATAGCCCCCTCAGTTATAGTAAACACATCTTTTGTAGTGTTCAGTCCCAGGGTGATATACAGATGATCTGCCAAATACAGGAAAGCCTGCCAAAGAGTGATTGTGTTTATGCGTGTGGATGAGAAATTAATGGGCAGATCATTGCAGTAATCTGGATGTACTTCCCCACTATGAAACAGAGCAGAAACAAAACCATGCTAGATCATGTTCAAGGTACAACTCTTGCAGAGCAATTAGCAATGGGCCAAACCAACTTTGGCATCTCCACATCAGAGTACCTGCCAAACCAGAGGCATTTCACCACCTGCAGGGAGACCATCTAAACAAGAATAGGAACAAAATGCTCTCTGAAACAAACAAGGATGTGATCAATTTCAATTATTTGAGTAACTAAATAATCTTGATAATTGCAATACTTCACAGCTGTGATCCTGCTGCCCTAGTGACTACTGCATCCTGCACACAGAAATGATTGGATAAGAGCACATCATCTATCTGTTTGAGAGCGTTTGTCCAAGAACTCCTCCTAAATGGTAAGACCACCAAATTCAGCATGCAGCTTCCTTTTATAAGAGGGCCATACCTCACAGTATCATTAGTGCCCACATGGATAAGTAGCATGAGGTATTAGTCAGAGGGCCAGGTGATCTTCAACAATCCCTCTAACATCTCAGATACAGGCCCCTGGCAGGCAGCATACCTCTCCAGAGACCATATGTGATGGCGTGTCAGGGAGCCCCCAGCCCTGCTCCCCCATCCACAGCCAAATCTGGCTCTCAGCTGGCAGGTAGAACAGAAGATTTATTGGTTCAGAGACATAGTGTAGCTTAGGATTGATGTTCGTACAAGAGCCAGGGCAGGCAGCATTATTCCTTGGGGGGTGGGAGGGAAGAGGGCTCAAGGGCCCTGAATCACCTTTTCCTGCTCCGAGTCTGCTCTCCTCATCCTACCCAGCAATACTAACTCAACCCCCCAGCCACTGCTCCCTCACCCCAGGCAGCCCCACCTCCTCTATTGTCCTCCTTCCAGGCCCAAGGCGCTATGTGCTGTCCCCCGGGCCTCAGGATGAGAGAAACTGCAAATACTTCCCCAGTGAGTGATACCCACACACAGCATCACTACAGAGCATCATAGGGCCACAGGGGCCACACACAGCACAGCAACCAGTGAATGCAAAACCAGAGTGGATACAGGGCCACGCGTGTGGGCAGCACCCCCACCACATCACACCAGATAGTAGCTACAGATGGGTATTTCCGTCCCCTTCAGGAAAGAGTCTCCAACCATCACTAGCCGAGGTTTCCTCCTGAGAGTGGTGGCTGCAGCCCTCCAAACCTTGGGGGTAAATGGCTTCTTCTTCTCTGTCATGAGGGGAGGGGGGGTTGCTCATTGCCAGGGCAGCATATTTGTTTTACATTACCATGGAGCATCTCCTGAGAGCAGGAGTAAGGCATTGCCTGCTTCCAGAAGTAACCAGCAGCCAGTGTGCTCCATGGGACACAGCCATATCCTTCTTCCCCAGTGGTGTGATAGCAGGCCTCTGTAGCGGGATCACTTCCTTAGCCTTGGATGTCTCCACATGAATATGCTTCAGGAATTCCTTGTGAGCATGGATGCTTCTCAGCCTTGCTCCCTCTTCCTGTAGGTCTCCCACCTGCTTCTTGAGAGAGCACACCAGCAGGCAACTTTCACAATGGATGATCCCCCCCAGCATGGCTTTCTGTGAACGGGAAATGCAGTTCACAGTCTCTGCAAATCCATGTCAGGATCTGAACAGAGGCATCTATGCTCAGCCTGTCTATCTGGCTACAGACACAGGTGGAGGACACAGGACCAGCTCTGGGACAGGTGATGCAGTACTTCCTAATTATAGCAGCTATATTAGGATCCCTATCAAACTCCCCTGTTTGTGGTCTCCTGGTCACAACTCCCTTTGGGTCACTTGGGAGAGAGACAGCCTTAAAACCCAATGCCTAAGTCAGCCCTCCAAGGTATTTAGGTACCTAACTCCACTTCATTTCAGTGGGAGCAATTTACCAAATATCCCAAAGGAAATCAGTGGACGACCCATGCCTACTCAGACCTAGGCTAGCACCCTAACAACCAGACCATCTATTCTCTCCTTTTTTCCTATAACTAGGAGAAAAACTTTATAGCAAAGATACAAAACTAGAAAACTGCCACAGTGCATCTAAGAGTATTGGGAGAAGCAACATCACAGGAGTGCTACAAGTGAAAATATGAATGCACTAGTATGTTTACCCAGCACTGCTCAGGTCCTTAAGGAGCGGCTCAGGGCCAGAGGCTAGGAATGTGGGGGTGCAGGAGTCAGGGTTGGGGAATGGGCAGGGACTCTGGGCAGGAAACTGTGGAGGGGGAGTGGATGGGGAGGACAAGAGGGCCAAAAGCCCCTTGAGATTCCTATCAGGGTTGCTTGCTCTTCTTCTTGTCAGTAAGCAAGAGCAAAGTGCACAGCTCATCTGCCCCTGCACTTCCCAACCAAAGTGTATAATGCAGCAAACTGTGTACTTTCCCTTCACTCCCTAATGAAGGGGAACAGCCAGCAACATCCCAGGCTACGTCTACACTGGCCCCTTTTCCGGAAGGGGCATGTAAATTTCACGAGTCGTCATAGGGAAATCCGCGGGGGATTTAAATATCCCCCGCGGCATTTAAATAAAAATGTCCGCCGCTTTTTTCCGGCTTTTAAAAAAGCCGGAAAAGAGCGTCTAGACTGGCCCCGATCCTCCGGAACAAGCACCCTTTTCCGGAGGCTCTTATTCCTACTACGATAGGTGAAATTAACATGCCCCTTCCGGAAAAGGGGCCAGTGTAGACGAGCCCCTTGTGTTTAAAGTAAGGCACACACTTAAGTACTTTGCTGAACAAGTACCTCAGTGCAGGAACTATCTTTGTGGGTTTAGTTTGCTCAGTGCCTTGTATCCTGATCCCTGTTAATAAAGTTTAGGAAATACAGTGTGAATGTGAAATAAAAACTCAACTGGATATTGTCTTATTGTACAAGGCAAAACAAGACAGGTTAAATAGGGGAGAAGAGGCACAATGAATGTCTCAAGGATCAGTATATGACTCACAAAAAAGTCAGTGACTCAAGAGGAAATATGCAGTGTAGTTTGAAAATGTGCAGACGGCCTTAGGAACTGAATTAGAAATATTAGCCAGTGCACTGTAACGCACATCTATTCTTCCCAAAAAATGGGGAACTGCGCAGAGCTAGTGTGAGAGCATGTTTGGAGTTTTTTAAAATAATGTATTAAAATGTAGAAATAATGGAATCTCAAAATTTCAAATAACGTAACATCATGAAAGCAAAGTCTTGAATACAAAAGACCAGTACTGTAATGTCACACACACGGAGGGAGAGTTAAGGTGGCAGCATTAACTCTAATAATTCCTGATTTACCATGCAACTTGAATGTTTTGATAGAATGATTGCAAGTATTTGGAGCAAGACTGTATGCTGAAAGGCTTTCATATGTCAACAGGACCATAGATAATCTAGTGCAATGCAATCCTGGCCCTATTACAGTCAATAAGTGTTTTGCCATTGACTTCCCATAGGCCAGGATTTCTCCCAGTTTGGAGGTGTTATTTATTTTATAAATGATTGACAGATATAGCTCATTCCCATCCATATAAAAACCTTGAGGTAGGAGATCCATGCAGAGTTTTACCTGTAGCAACCTGTTGAAGCAGAAAATTTGGGCTCTTTACCTTTCCTGCAGAAAAAGTTGCGGGGCTCAACATAAATCATCCACAGGGATTCCTTAAGTCTATATCCCTCAGCAGCCCTTCTTGGCTTTGTAACATTGGTGCTCCCGTGTCTTCCCCTAGGGATATTTCTTGGGACTCCATTGGAGGGCTCAATTGAAAAGGATTTTCTTTTCTGTTTAGTGTCAGAGAGGCAAATGTAGAACCTGCCCACCCAAATACAACATCCTTGGTCCATCACCTCTTTACGCTCCCTCCTTGACTGCACCATGTAGGAGCTCCACAAGACCTAGAGGAGACTAAGCCCTCGAAAAGAGATTTATACATGTGCGGAAGGAGGCCATAGTATTTACTCTTTGCAAAGAATTCCAAGCTTTATGGACTTTCCCTAAACCCTACTCAAAGAGAGGAAGGATTTCAAAGCTCAGTGATGACTCAAAGGAAGTGAAGTAATTGTTTTGATGCTATTTCTCAGTTACCACTAATTTAAGGCTGGCAGCTTAAAGGGTTTTGTGGTGAACAACGAATGGACTTTAATCAACTGTTCTTGGGTGTAGAGAGTTGACAAAGGAAAAAAGTGAGTTTGACAAATGGAGAAAATGTGTTTGGCTTAGTGCTAGGTGTTAAAACAAAAACAAACAAAAAAACCTTACTTTGGAGGAAGAGAATAAAGATTCTGTACCATTGTTCAGCACCTATGGAGGCTGCCAGGAAAAGCAGCTCCAAATGTTTTTCAGAATTTGTTTTTGGAAATGGTCATAGAAAAGCTGCATAAACAAAACTGGGCAAGCAATATAAAATATACAAAATAAAGGTTTAACACACCCAGGCCTATAAAGAACACAGGTTTGTGGGCACACGCTCTCATCTGTATCTACGGCACACTCAGCTCAGAAGTACAGGTAGCTCACCAGGTAACTTTCAGAGCACCTAAGTGATGTAGGTACCAACCTATAGTCCATTTTTAAAATAGGGCTTTTAGACTTCTAGTTTACAGAGACCTCATGGGGAAGGCATTGTCTTTTTGTTCCTGGTCCATACAACACCTAGCACACAGGGATCCTTGTCTACTGCACGTAGTAGTAATAATGCTTTTGAAAATGTTACTTTTAAGTTCTTTTCTGAAGTTTAGCTGCCTAAATATGCAGCGAGACTCCTAGTGGCATTTTCAAAAGCGCCTAAGTGATTAGGCGTCTAATTTCCCATGGGGTTCCTATCTCCATCTTATCTGTGAAATTCTCTTTGAGCAGTAGCGACATTTATACCTTATCATTTTGTACATATATCTGGGGTTATATTTTCCAATGTGTTATACATTCAACATGGAATTTTTTCTGCCATTTTCCTGCTCAGTCATCCAGTTTTGCGAAACCCCTTTGTAACTCTTCCAGATAATTTATGAATATATTGAACAGAACTTGTCCCAGTACAGATCCATGAAGGACCTAGCTAATTACCTTTCTCCAGTGTGAAAACTGATAATTTATTCCTACCCTTCATTTCTTATCTTTTAACCAGTTCCTCTTATCCCAGAAAAAGAATAGTTAAAATTAAAATATTGTGAAATCAAACACAAATGGACAGTCATTTTTGGGAAAAAATCCTTTCCTTTGCATAAAGTCTTTGCCAAGTTTTCATGTAAAGTCCCTCTAGTGACTATATGTTCTTTCTGCAGAAAAGAAGAATCCAATTAATGTAGAATTTTGCTCAGTCATTTAAAAAAATAGATGAATCCTGCCATTACATAAATCTACATGAGGGAAAAAGAACAGAAGCGTTTGTCTGTTGCTTCCTTGCTGGTTTGCTATTGACAAGATACAAAGGCAGTCCAAACACTCAGCCCCCTGAATCTTGGCATACATCTCTTGCTGGGGGGGCACCCTAGGCTGGCAGGGTGTGATTTCTGCCCTGCCATTGTGTCACACCAGACCAGGGTTGCATGTGCCATATCAGCCTGCCTCACTGGTTACAGCAATGATATAATGGTCTGAGACCATTCCAAAGGTAGCTTGAAACCTGTTAGAAGAAAAAAGGAAGGAGAGGGGAGAACAGAGCAAACTGAATGAAAGGAAATGCTACTGTAGGAAAGGGGTGCTTTACAACTATGGCTATATGTGACGGGGCAAGGCAGCCCCGCACTGAACCTACAGGGCACAGCCAGGGTTACCTGGCTGCAGAGGCCCCTCCCCCACAGCCCTACCGAGCATGCCCAGGCTGCAGCAGGGCTATAAAAGCCTGGGCCAGGACTCAGTCAGGGGAGGCAGCTGAAGGAGAAGGACTGGAGAAGGGAGCTCTCTCTCAGCGGTTGCCAGGGACTCCGGGAGAGGCCGGAAGGAAGGCGGAGGCGAATTGGTGCAACCCAGAGACTGCCTGCCGAGAGGATGCCGGCCTGGAGATTGCAGCCAGCTGGGCAAGGCCAGGGGGAGGAAGCCCGGGGGTCCAGGTAG